AAACATCGGTTAGTCGGTTTTGTTCGATTATGAGATTTAAAAGTCAGTTTTGTTCGATTAATATATTGCAATGTCGGTTGGTTTTGTTCGGTTAAGAGATTTAAATGTCAGTCTAATTTGTTCGTTTAAGAGATTTAAACATCGGTTAGTCGGTTTTGTTCGATTATGAGATTTAAAAGTCAGTTTTGTTCGATTAATATATTGAAATGTCGGTTGGTTTTGTTCGGTTAAGAGATTTAAATGTCAGTCTAATTTGTTCGTTTAAGAGATTTAAACATCGGTTAGTCGGTTTTGTTTGATTAATATATTGAAATGTTGGTTGGTTTTGTTCGATTACGAGATTTAAATGTCAGTCGGTTTTGTTTGATTAATATATTTAAATGTCGGTTGGTTTTGTTCAATTAACAAATGACGACGGTTGGTGTTTTTTTCGATTACAAGATTTAAATGGTTGAATTGGTTGAATTAAGAGATTTAATCGTTGGTCGATCTTTTTGGATTAATAGAGCTCAACATTGGTCAGTTTTGTCCCGGCCCACATCCAGGTGTCTGTCACAGAATTAAGTTCATGTTTTAGTTCACAACCATAAAGAACCACTGCCACTGAATATCAGAAAACAGCAATGCATCAGACTTGAGCTGGCACTGGATCTGGATCCTGACGGGCTGTAACGGTCTCTCAGGTACACGCTGACGGAGGGCGACTTCCATCACCTGAAGAAAGCTCGTCTGACGCACATGCAGCCGCCGGCGCTGAAGATCCTCACCATCATGGAGTGTGATTCACCGGAGAACAGCGTGACGCTCAGCGAACAGCCCTCACAACACCCATCCCTCTCCATATTCCAGGTGACACACTGCTTTCATATCTCTCCAACATCACCTCCAGCATGAAGAGCATCAGCAGTGTTTTCTTCTGTCCAATGCACTGCAGAAAACATTAAAAATGCACTAGTGACCCATTTGCAGTACAGGCTTTTGTGAAGCAACATTAAATACGGTAGTGAACTCACATTATACGAACTACTAAACAAACTCTCAATGGGCCTGATGATCCGCAGACACAAAGACTTTCTGTTCAGTAGATGTGACTGAATAAAGAGCGTTTCAGTAGATTACAGCAGCACTTTTGGGCGTAAATGTGATTCACTTTCTCATGTAAATTAGACGAAGTTCATCCTAACTCTGACTTGATTCATTTTCTGCATAGAGCTGCAGTTACGCAACACAATCGCTGTCACTGTGTCTGATTTCTGAAACTGCTTTCCATAGATAATAAAATATGATTATGTCATAAATAATAATAATTAACCAACCCTTTAGAACATCTGTCAACCAATCAGAATGAAAAATTTGACAAAAAAGTGGTGTGTTTTTATATTATTTGTTTATTTGCTCAATGCTCAAAATATTATTTTGATATTTTCGGTTTT